TCCCTTGAAAGCGAGCAGGACTACATAAAAGCCGAGTCTTTCCTGCAAGTAAACACCCCTTCCCTCCTCTGGAGCGCCTCGGCTCGGCTGAGGGGGCGGGCGCTGGCAGAAGAGCCAGACATCAAAGGTCGCTACTTGTTGCTTCAGAGCTGTGGCCCCCTCCTTCCCCCTCGGAAAAATCGTATTCAGAGCACACTCCCTCAAAGAGAAACAAGCCGATGAGAGGATGATTGGCAGTTTCCGAGGATAAAGGGATCTGAACTGTCACTGCACGCTTAAACATGCACAAACAGCGGGCTGATTGATGCGCGAGGCGTTACACTGGCACCGTCTTGCGTAGGGACGCAGATCATTTGATTGCATGTGAATAGGACTTCTAATCGGGATTTGAATTTCCAGTTTTTTCTCCTCCCGATCCCACTTCCCCTCCTCACTTTGCTATCTCCCAGTCGTTGTTATGCATGTCTTTGTGTCTTCTTACTTCCCTATTGTTGTCTCTTACACTCCTGTACAATGTTTCTGCCTGTCTCTGTCTCCTGCTTCCTTTCTCAGGGCTGTCAACTCCTGGAATTTTATCTCAAGCTTGTCAATATCGACTGTCTTTTTTAAACCCCTCAACCCTGGAGGCATACGATTACACCAGAATTGCAGCTTTCGTTATTACAAAAATAGATTTCTAGCCCCCACGGTTTGGGAGCTGAGTATGAAAAATGTAAATCCTAAGGGTTACAAAAAGCCACAAATAAACTCTACATTTGTTATTTAAAGAAACCTCATGATTTGAAAGATAATTTTATGATTTTTTGGAGCCTGATTTTGTTTTTCAGTTTAGGAGTTTGGCCTTTTTCTTTTTGCCTTGTCTCCCATTGTAACAACAGTGGAATTAATAAGATTAATTTTCTGTTGCGTTTACCAAAACTTTGGATACCCTGCTGGGGTAGCAATTCTGACTCGATGGCAACCCCACTGCAGAAATGAGTCTAAAGAGAAAACCAACAGAGATAGAAATATGAGTTTTAATTTTATAAACTGTTTTTTTTTCACTTCCCCTGTTGCAAGACGGAAGTCTAATTTCCCTGATGCTGATGGGGCACTACAGTCCATTTCCACCTGGTTGTGGCTGTATTTCAGTGGTGAGTGAAGTGATCCATATACATGTATTTATATTTTCATAGTCCATAAATCACCTTGGGATCTACTTCTGGATGAAGAATGCTAGATAAATATAAGGTATTATTATTAGATTTGTGAAATGTCGCCACACACATATTTAGACACCTGCCCTTTGTACTGAACCCATATGGCAGGGCAATTTGGGTAGATTTGTTTCTCCGTTTTGTGGCTGACAGACTTCTGATTGCCACCCTTCACCATGTCAAGAAAAAAACTAAGACCAACTATCCTAAGGTAAAGTAGTCTGCAGACTAGTCTGCCATTCTTCAGTTCTTTCTATGGAGCTAGAAATTTCATAGACATTGGGGCTGGAAAGGGCCTGGTGAAATCATAGGGTCCAGCCCCCTGCCCAAGGGGCAGAAAGTCAGCTAGGGTCAGATGAGCAAGATAATCATCCAAACGCTTCTTGAACATGTCCAGAGTAGATGCTTGCACCACTTCTGAGGGGAGTCTATTCCAGACTCCAGAGACTTGGATAGTAAAGAAGTTTTTCCTTATGTCCAGTCTAAAACAGTTTTCCAGCAGTTTGTGACCGTTGGACCTTGTCTTCCCTTGGGGTGCCTTGGAGAACAGACCTTCTCCCAGATCCTGATGCACACCCCTGATATAATTGTAGGCTGCCACCGAGTCCCTCCTATGCTTTTCCAAGCTGAAGAGTCCCGTGCCTCCCAGCCTCTCCTCATAAGGCCTGCTCTCTTGATCTCTGATTATGCGCATGGCTCTCCTCTGGACTCCCTCAAGCTTCTCCACATCCTTCCTAAAGTGTGGAGCCCAGAACTGGATGCAGTACTATGATGTGGGTGCTTCCTCTTGAGGTGGAGCACCTTGCATTTATGTTGAAAGTCATCAGGTTTTGCTTGATCCACCCACTTTGTGAGCCTGTCCAAGTCAGCCTGAATCCTCAGCCTATACTCTAGTGACTGCACTTCCCCATAATTTGGTGTCATCTGCAAATTTAGCCAGTCTGCTTCTGACACCCGAATCCGGGACACCACTGGTCACCATGAGCCATGTTGATTCGGTTCCATCGACAATCACTCTCTGGGTCTGAGCATGGAGCCAGGTCCCCAGCCATCGGACCGTAAAGTTGTCAAGGCCGCAGTTCCCCAATTTTGCCACGAGGATACCATAGGAGACCAAAGCAAAGGCTTTTTTGAAATTCAAGTTTCATAGTTTCTACGGTCGGAAGGGACCTAAGCAGATCATCAAGTCCGACCCCCTGCCATGGCAGCAAAGAGTACTGGGGTCAACCGACCCCAGCAAGGTGTACATCTAGCCTCCTCTTAAAGACCCAAATTCAGGTGTCCTGGATTCGGGTGTCAGAAGCAGACTGGCTAAGTTTGCAGATGACACCAAATTATGGGGAAGCGCAGTCACTAGAGTATAGGCTGAGGATTCAGGCTGACTTGGACAGGCTCACAAAGTAAATGACATCAGCCTCTCCTCCCCTGTCCAGGTGATGTTTCACTTGGTCATAGAAGGCAATGAGGTTGGTCAGGCATGACCTACCTGTAACAAAGCCATGCTGGCTCTCTCAGGATGATGCCTTCTGTTAACCTATTGTTGATGGATTCTTTAATATTTTCTTCCATGATCTTTCCAGGGATTGAGGTCAAACTGATTGGCCTGTAGTTCTCTGGATCTTCCTTCCTTCCTTTGTTGAAGATAGGCACCACATTGGCCCTCTTTCAATCTTCAGGAACCTCTCCTGAGCACCAAAAGTTCTGAAATATCCACACCATTGGTCACACTATGATGTCAGCAAACTGTTTTAGCACTCTAGGGTGCATTTAATCAGGGCCCAGTGATTTATGGATGTCCAGCCTCTCAAGATGTTCCCCACAAGAGCTTTGCCAAATGTAGGTGTGTGGTCACCTGTACCCTTGTAATCCTGTGTCCCGTCAGGCAGGGTGATCCCCCTGGGCTGCTGAAAATCCAATGTGAAGTACTCATTAAGGAGATTAGCTTTTTTCTGGATGTCGGATGCCAGCTGTCCCATTTGGTTTAGCAGGGGTCCAATGTTGCCCTTATTTCTGTTTCTTCCCATGTGCCTGAAGAAGGACTTTTTATTGTCCTTGATTCCTGTACCCAGTTTGAGCTTGGTTTCGGCCTTGGCTTTTCTGGTCCACTCCCTACAGGTGCGGGCCAGTGATGCATAGTCCTCCTTAGAGCTATGTCCCATCTTCCAACCTTTATAGGTTTCTCTGTTAAGATTCAAGAGGTCCATGGGTTCCCTATTGAGCCAAGGGGGTCTCCCAGCCCTTTTACTACCTTTCCTATGGGCCAGAATGGACTTTCCTTATGCTTTTAGGATCACATCCTCAAGAAGCAGCCACATAGCTTGGACTCTCTTCCCTGTCAGATCATGATCCTTCAGGGCCTCGGCAATCACCCTCCTGAGCTTATGAAAGTCAGCGTTGCTGACAGATTTGCCAGCTTTGCGGTGGATAGAGAAAGTGATCAACTTGTGATCACTAGGGCTGTGTGAGGCTTTGGACCATGCTTCAGATCCAGAGAAGTTTTGGACGCTTCGGTGTCCGAAGCGGCATGCCCAGATTGAAGCACTGGCTTCGTTAGGCTTTCCGAAGCGGTTTGGAGCCGCTTCAGAGATCCAGCCATAGGGTATAATGTGGAATCAATGAAATATCTACCACTTTGTTTTTCATCTGATTTGGATGAAATTTGCAGGGGTGGTAGCCTCTGCTTAGAGTATGAAGTCTGCCAAGTTTCAGGGAATACCATCTCTGCAGTTTTGATCCCACTGTGGCCCCGGTGAGTGGGCGGGGACGGAGGCACGAGGCCTGCATT